GGGTATTAAAGAGGGCATGTATTGAATGGAGCACTGGGTGTTATATGCAAGCAATGAATCATGGAACACTACATCAAAAACTAATGATGTAATGTATGGTGATTAACATAACATAATAAAATAATATTTAAAAAAAAAAGGAATTTAGTCCAAATCTAGAGAAATGAAAGTTTGCATGACTGTCGTTATCAATCAACTACAAACTGGTTAAACCAAGTCTGAAGAGAAACTTGAGAGTAGCTTTTCCATTCTCTTTTGTTGTATCTTAATTTAATTCCTTCAAATATAACTTTAATACAGAATTCTTTGAGAACAAATTTCTAGTGCTCTCCTTTAATAAACAGGATACCAATGTCACATTCTGAAGGGCTTTTATTTCCCACATTTTTCAGAACATGACAATAATAGTTTTGTGCATTTATGTGTTTTAGTTATTATTATTTTTTTAAGGTTTTCCAAAAAACAGTGATTTACTTTGTAAATAATTTTCTACAATTCAGGATTTCATGAAAAATCCTAAGTTTATATGGCATTAGATTTTTTTTTCCCACATTGGTCTCTGGTGATATATTTTCAAGACTTTTAATGTCTTATATTTATAACCTTCACCTCCATGTTGAAGTACCTCGAATCCTCTTAATGCCTAAGGATTCCTGGCAGCTTATATTTGTATGTGTAAAAGATAGGCCAAATCTCCATGGGAGAACATTCAAAATAGAAACAAATGTACCCCTGCTTAGTTTATGCATTAAACATTTTTCTCCAAATATTTCAGGAATGAGAGAGTTTTTAAAAATTAATATCCTTAGTATTTTAAAATAATGTTCTTTTGTTAACTATTAATTTTTCATATTACAGCAATTTAACATCCTTGGAGATCTGGTGTCTTTATAAATTCTCTTCTATCCTTCTCCCATAGAACCCATTTTCCTATGAAATCATATGAAATATTTTTTATGGATACAAATTTACTTACACTCCATGATTTTATTTTAAACTAAAAGCTCAAAAGTTTTAAGTTAATAAAAATCTCAACACATCACGTCTACCTTTATTGGGTAAATTTGAATTAATGCAGATATGGGCATTTATTATTTTTCAGGACAAACAAGAAAACCTAAGTTGCTTTAAAATAGTCAGGCCCATGTGAGGTCTAAGGCTTTTAAAAAACTGAAAAGTTACATTAATTACAAGGGAACCTCAATACAAGCATCTGGAGTCACTCAACAGATTTCTTAAGGAATGTCAATTTTGCACCTGGACATGAGTATTTTCACTTCTGCGAATCATTATGCTTAATGTTGGCTCTAGGTCCTTCACTCATAGATTATTGCACATTAATGGCACCATTCAAATGCCATCCCTAGCTGGAATGATGCACCTCCATGCTCTACTGTTTACAGTTTTCTAGGCACTCCTCTATCAATCTCCAAACCTGTTCAGATATGTTTGAATCCTATTTTCTTACAACAGGTTTCTCACTTTCGGACTCAAGAACGTAACGGCCCAGAATTTCTCCCCTGCCATCTTTAAAATCAATAACCTTAAAACAATCTTATTACTCTCTTCTGACTTAGGACCAAATCTATATTCCAGCTGAAGTCAGACAAGCCACATAACACATACACACACACGTACATACATGAGAATTTTTAACCACAGTTTCTCCTTGTGTGGGAACATGGGATTTCAATCATGTAACTTCTAGATGGGGAAATCTGATGCCCTGGCTGTTCATTTTTTAGGAGCATTGAAAAGCCATTAAAAGTATGTTTCTTTGGACAGCTATAAGACAGTGCAGATTTTCCATCCTACTTTCCTATATGCAGTTCCTTCTGAAATTGTATTATTCACAACATTTCAAAGTCAATGTCCTAGAGGGACATGAAAAAGGTTACAGAGAAAGAAATGCACATTTAAGAAGCCCCCTAGAGAATCACAGATAAGACGTTTCAAGTTTATTTAGACCCCATGTATGCAAGATTCTATACAAGTAAATTAGGGGATTGGAGAAAGATAGGCAAAATACCACATCTCCATCCAGCTTTTGTTTCTTCATAGTATTGTTCATTTATTTATTTATTGTCTCTCTTTATGCACCAAATTAAAACCTTGTAAGAGTTGGGGCTTTGCCTGTTTGTTCACTACTCAATTTGGCCCTAGAATAGCACCTTGGACATTATATATACTCAAGAAATATTAGCACAAAGAATGAATGAATGAACATAAAAAAGATTCATATTCAAAGGAAGCTGTCTGATTTCTTTCATAGTATTGAAAGGATTTTATCACCAACATAATCTTTCCTTATAGAACGTAAATGGTAAATGAAGACTAAATATCTCAAGAAATACAGCTCAGTGTTCACTAAAAGCAAATTCCTATTTACTGCCTGAGAAGCAAAATAAAGTAGGGAAAGGAAGACTTAGTTATTAAGCCAGAGGCATTTTGTACTGTGTTGAACAACACAATCATCACTGGTACTGAAGGCAGCTTTGAAAATCAGAAGCAGGGGTGTAGAGTTCTTCTATACCATGAGCTGATGATTTATGATTGCATTGTGATAGAAAAAGCATCAGATTCAGAGTTCTATCTCAATTAATGAGTAAGCCATTAGTATTAATACTATATTTTTTATTATTAGTTATACTACATATATGCATGTATTTATATATTACTATGTATAATAATTATGGAAGTCGGTTGGATTTGGTTTCAAATCCTAGCTCTGCCACATGCCAGCTGGTGACCTTGGCAAGATACTTAAGCTCTCTCAATCTAATGTTCTCATCTCTTTCCCTGAATCATTGTAAATACTAAGAGACATAATGTTTAAAGTGCTTTACCCATGTCTGATATGATAAATGGTGATGATGATGATTATAATGGCAATGTTGATTCATACAAATTAAAGTCAGGTAAATGGAATAAACTAAAGTATTGACATATTAAGGAAAGTTTTCTTTCCAGGCAGAAACATAATTTGTGAGAAAGACCTTCAGAAAATCTACATTTCGTTCTATGTCCTTGATATAATTCTTAAGAGTGGATGATGTGACCCTAGATATCACTGAGAATTATTGCAACTGAAAGAACAAAAAAAAAAGAAAGAAAGAAGAGAATATATATATATATACTGTTTTATGAACAAAACACAAATATTTCAAAGATCTTTAAAAATAAAAAATATTTTAACAATAACTCAAAGTTGTTATTTTCAACTCACTACAACTATGTTGGTATATCTTAACATAAAAATTCTTTACCTCCAGGCCTCAAAAAATATATTTGGCCATTCCTCTGTTTGGAGTTTATTTTAAAGCTCAGATATAGACTGATGAGCTTATTAATGGTCCCTGTTTTCTCCTTGTTCTCTGAGCACTGATTTTTTTCCCAATGGATAAAGGTTTGTTGTATATTTTCATACCCTTTAAACACACATATGCTTGCACATTGATTCTATTTTCAGTCAGGCAATATATTACTTTAAATTGTCACTAGTATATATCACAACTTCATCAGATACCCCTTCTTATAACAACAATAAAATACATATACTGGAGAATATGCTTAACCCTGTCAATGAGCAGCTTAACCCATAAACGAGATGCATACAGCTATCAAAACTTAAAATATAAAGAACAAAACAGAATCTCAGCCACCACAGTGGCAAAGACATTATTTGTATTCATACATTCCCTAGGATTAAGCAAGAGTTCTTAGTGCTCATCTGGATAGATGACCATAAGGTAAAGAACAACGTTTTAAAATAAGTCAATTTTCCCTTGGTGTTCTTCACTTCATGTTTTGAATCTTTTTAAATTCCTGTCTCCAGTACCTGAAGACCATACCAGGCCTCCTGGTTACCAAAGACCAGTCCCAATTTAGTCTTCCAGCAACACTGCTTCAGTGGAGAGCGCCCAGGCTACGGAAGTCCGTATGGACCACACATGTGCCCTGTGTCCCTTGCCCTTATGACACGATTGTCGTCTGACTACAGATTGCTTTAAATCAGCGCTGCTGCTCATATCAAAGCTTGACCATCTAAGGCCCGGAGGTCAAATCCAGACTGTCATCTCTGCACACAGGTAAAGTGTCACTGGAACACAGCCACACCCATTCACTTACACATTATCCATGGTTTCTTTGGTACTACAATGGCGGAGTGAGTAGATGCTGCAAAGACCCTATGGCTCACAAAGCATAAAACATTTACTCGTTAGCCCTTTACAGAAAGCTTGCTGACCCTACTTCACCACTGTACTGCAATCCCTCAGACCACATCTTCTAGATACTGTTTTAGTGTCGCTTCCCAGGCTTCCTCAGGATCTGGTTCTGAGGACCTCAGCTTTGAAACTCTTATCCCATCTCCTCTGACTTACCTTTTGCCCCATGGACATGTTCTCTGAGACAATTCCTCTACAACCCCTCTGGCTCCTCTCTTCAACTGTAATGCACACCCCTTGGACTACAGCTACTCACATTCACTTGAATGCCGGCCAAGCCTGATCCTGTCTGGCTTCCACTCAGCTTCAGCCCACACAGCTGGAATTCCTTTTAGATTCACCTGTTCCTTCAGATAAGGCCTCTGGCAAGTGCACTGAATGTCAATGCATTAGCTTTCTAAATTAACACATACAGCTGTAGAAAAACATTGTCCTGCCTGATCTTCCCTTGCCATATGACTTTTTTCTCCTTTGAAACAGTAGACATGCTTCAAGCAGTTGAGTTATGTTTCTAAAGAAGAAATGGCAAATTAAATTTCTTTAACTTGCAGGGTCCCTTTAAAGAGAGTAAATTTAAAGGATTCAGGGAATTTGGGCTAGAAAGGACCTGTCTTTTTCCAAGTTCACCTGTGGCTCCCTCATTCATCATGGTGTTCAAGTTCCTGCCATATTTTCTCAATTTGTTGTATATTTATATCAGAGAGAAACATACTAAGGCTTATAAATTGGAAACTGATTCATAGGGTCATTCATTTTGGTTAGGATTAAGTCGTTTTCAGCTTAAAAAATATTTGTTTGGGAATAAATTCACCTTAGTTTAATATACATATTATTGCCTGTAGTAAAAGACAATATGTTTGAATTTCACAAGTTTCTAAGAACTCTAAACTCTCTTGCATTGCTTGGTATAGGTTTCAACCTCCACCAATTTTTTTTTTTTTTTATAGAAAGATAAGTTTTAGAAGTGAAAAAGCCTAGGAGCCTTAAGGCTAATAAATAGATTATCATGACTTACAAATATAACCGTGATTAATGAATTTTTCTAATAGCCATTCCCTGATCTCTCTCTTTAGACATGACATTTACTCCCAGATAACAACTTACTTAAAAGTTTCACCAAAACTTAAAGGAACAAAAGACAGCATGAAAAGGCTTTCATTTTTGTATTTATCTTTTTTTTTAATGTTATCACCACTTTGTACATGGCTACTCTGTTTGCCTACAGACTCCCTACTCTAAAAGCATCTCATTCATTATTTATAAAGAATATTAGGATACTTTGAGTGTGGAAGATGCTACAGAAAACCAATTCTCCTCTTCTTATTGTGTTAATCCTGGATTAAAATTAATGAATTTTATAGCAGAAAGAATGAAATAATACATAAAGCTAATACGGCAAATACAATGGAATTCAGAAAATTAATTTTTAATACATTTTACTTTGTAACTTATTGGTTAAGTAAGATGTGATGTCCACCTTTATTCTGATGTCTCTATGGTAAAAATTATTACAGTGTATGATCTGTGTTCACTAACCTAGCAATAGTGAAGCTGTCCTAAGATGAAATATGGATTTAACCACAACAATGAATCAACCTGCCTCAAGCCAGCATGTATACCCTTTATTCCTATAATATCTATGCTCTGCACTTTCCCATCTGACAACTTCATGTTCAAGTTACTAGGATTAGAGGTTATTTTACAGCATTGGACTCATGTTATAGGAAACATCATCTAAGCTCACAAAATCTCGTTTAAGTGAGCATTTGGAACAAATATAGGGAAAAACTAAAGTAAGAGATTTCATCAGCATCTGATTTCCTTAATGCGTTTCATGCAAAATATTTAATACCTGTATGGTTTGGGGTAAAGTAGCTTTGCCACTTTAGGCATCATTTTTTGTCATCGGTAATGTGAGGGGTGGATGTGAAGTGGGCTGAGATGAGAATATACAGCACTGTTGTGATAATGAGCCAAAAGTGTCTCTCTCCTGATACAGGCAAACCCTAAGAGCACAGCTTGGTTACATCAGAAGGCATTCTTTATGCTGGGAAGACATAACCCTACAACAGAGTAAAAGACTTGACCAACAGAGTGGAAATTTGGCTTTACTCATCACTTTTTCCCTTAGCTGGACACACTTGCGCAATGAGCAACCTGCAGAAACGGGTACGGTGGCTCGATAAGTGTTAGAAAAGTAGACAGCCCCTAGTTTCTTAATTTCTCCCACTATTCGCTCTTTCTGTGACTATAATATGGAAACAACGTGTTCAGAACAAGAGAACTTATGATCAGACCAGACATGGAAAACTGGGTACACTTCTGTGTACCTCAGAGTATACTTGGACAACCTGAAGCATGCATCTACACATGGTGTAAAATAACTACAATGGTGATAGTCACTAAACTATGCCATAGAGAAGAAGTGGATAAAAGGACTGAAAATTCTAGCATGACAAAGGAATGAATAAAGAGAATCAAGGAAGAAGAAACAAAACAAGAAGGTGCATCTTTTTTTCTAGATGTAAATAACAACAAGGCAGATTTTAATATAACGTAAGAAAGAAATGTTAATAGAACTCTTCAAGCATGAATTAAGCTAATTCCAGGAATAACAAGCTACAAATGATTAGAAGTGTTCAAAGTAATGATGGTTGGTCACTGGTTTGGAATACTCTAGAAGGAATCTATTTAATCAAAAGAGATCAATTTTTGTGCAAATGCATTAAGATAAACACAAAGCTTTAAGAGATAACAGTTCTACTCCACAGCACTGTTTGAGTACGTGAATATTCCAAGTTCTCTACCATCTGCTAATAATATGCACATAGATAAGAACAAGTCTTTATTTTTAAGATACAATAGAACATGAAAATAAATATATACAAAATTAAATATGCTATCAATATAAACAATACTATTAGCTCTTATACTATTAGAAGAAAGCAAGAAGGCTTCTTGAAATAGTTAACATTTGGTTGAATCATAGGGACGGCTGGACTAGAGTCTCCCAAAACGGGGAATACTAAAAAAGAAGAGATTGGCTGCACAAAATGAGATGGCTTCCTAGATAGGAACCTACAATTTAACATTTACCTTGACAAGTTCACTGTTATGCAGTGACCAGTGAACAAAACTATTCACTATGTTACTCATTTGACATTAATAGAATACCCTACATAAAAACAGAGAATATACATACTTTTCCAGTGCATACAATATATTTACCAAGACTGATCATATCCCGGACCACAAAAGAGGTCTTTATACATTTAAATCCATTCAAGTTATTAAAAGCATGCCCTGTGACTACAATTGGATAATTTAGAAATAAAAAATGGAAAGATGTCTGATAAATTCCTAAATATTTGCAAATTAAATAGCATACTGTAAATAATCATAGGTCAGAGAAGTGAAAGAGATGTTAAAGATTATTTTGTCTGAGTGAAAATGGAAACACAGTATATCAAAATTTGTGGGGTGCCACTAAAGTGGTACTTAGAGGAAATTTTGTGTCACTGAATTCTTAAAATCGAAAAGGATCAAATCAATGATCTCAGCTTTTACCTTAAACTGGAGAAAGAATTGCACATTAACTTCAAAGTAAGTAGGAGAAAGAAAGATAATTGTGAAATCAATGAAATAAATGTTTAAAAAAGAAAAGAAAAAATAGGGAAAATCAATATAACCAAAAGCTGACTTTTTGAGATTAATGAAACTGATAAGCTCTAGCCAGACTGGTCAAGGAAAAAAAAAAAGTTACAATATAAGGAATGTGAGAGGTGATGTTACTGCAGATGCAGATTCTACAGATACTAAGAGGATAAAAAGGAAATATTTTGAACGAATTTATGCCAATAACTTCGACATCTTATAGGAACTGATCCAATTTTTAGAAAGAGACAAGCTACCAGACATCTTTTCCAGGACAAACTACAGAAGAAGCCATATTGGTAGCTTTCTTGGTGAGTATGAAATTAGAAAACATCATCTTAGAATTCAAATGATGGCTTCTCTACAGGAATGGAAAAGCTGCCAGGAGGGTAAAGAAATTTTGTCAGCCTCGGAGATGAGTTTTGCCCCAGGAAGATAATTGGTTGGACACGCAAAACATTTGCCTCTGTGATTCTCTTTTTCTATACTTCCATGGTTTATAAATACCTCTTTTGGAAATCATATTCATTCTTTAGATCTATATGGACTATCAGATTAGGACAAAGTTTCTCAATCTCAGCACTACTGACAGTTTGAAATTAATACTTATTTGTTATGGGGGTTGTTAAGTGCATTTTAGGACGTTTACCAGCATCTCTGGCTTCTGCCTATTAGAGTAACCCTCTCCCAACTTGTGAGAAACAAAAATGGCTGTAGACATTGCCAAATAACCCTTTGAGAGCAAAATTGTATTTTAGGGGGAATCACTACGTTGCACTCAAGTATTGCTGACTTAGGAACTAGTCTCTAAGGTAGCCCTGTATGGCTTTATTATCATGCATTGTGTTGATTTCTGAGTTCAAGCTTGTGAAAACAATATTTTTTTAATCCTTGTTCTCCACATTTCAACAGTAAGTAAGAATTTCCCTTTTAAGGGGCACTAGTAAATAGTTATAAAAGACATTTCCGTCAGAAAGATCAAGATGAGCAAAAGAATGTGGAAGCAATGTACAGTTGGAGAAAATCCAGAGCTAAGAGAGATTAGAGTGTATCTGACAGTATTAAATCCTTGATTTAAATATTAACCCTTTTCATTCTGTACTGATAAGTAGCAATAATTAACACTGAAGTTTAGAACATGTGAAGGAAAGTGTCAAGAGTTACATTTATTACATTCAATACTTACCCTATGAAGTAAGTACTATTATTATTCCCATTATGTACATAACGTAAGTTATGTACAAAACGTAAGTAACTTAACCAAATACACATAATAAGTAGCAGAACTAGTTTACAAATTCATCTTGTCTGTTTCTATAATTTGAATTCTAGACAATGTGCTCTACTACAGGGATAAACAAAGACAAATAAAACAATCTTTCAAGAAGCTCATAGTCTAGGAAATCCTCAATAATCCAGTTTTATCTTTATATACTAGTTTATCCTTTTAGAATATCTAACCATTAAATGTCAACTTAAATAAATATTAATTACAAATTACTCTGTATTTTATTCATTTCCTAAGCCTTGACCATAATATAGCCTGAATATTCATGTCTTTG